CTAACTAACTAATTACTTACTTTAATTTTATTTTACTACTTATTTATTATTTATTTATAGAAAGTTAATTTAATTTACTTTTTAATTTTTAAAATTTAAATTAATTATACCTCTCTCTCTCTCTCTCTCTCTCGCTTGCCCTGACCGTCGTCGACCACTCATATGGCTACCAGCATCTTCAGCTTCGCTCCTCTCGTTCACTTCCCTCTTTCCACTACAAATCCCCCTACCAGACTCCCTCTATTTACATCCCTGCCACTGCCACTGCCACTCACATCTTCTTCTTCTTCTTCTTCTTCATCTTCGGCCTTTACTTCTTTCTTTCTAGTTAGAAATGAAGCATCTCTGTCTTCCTCGTCTACTTCAATCCAAGCTCTTACAGAAGAAGCCGTCGATACTTCGGATTTAACTTCTTCCTCTTCAAAGCTTGTGCTTGTCGTCGGTGGCACTGGTGGCGTTGGTACTAACCCTGCATCCATGTCATTTTTACTTAAATGTTCGATTTTGATATTGGGATTACGAATTCCTCACAATTGATATTTGCTAATTCTGTCTACCTTCCTCGAGAAACAACAACCAATTTCTTGAAGTTCCCTCCTTTTTGGTACCAGGGCAACTTGTGGTAGCTTCATTGCTCAAGAGGAATATTAGATCAAGGTTACTACTGCGTGATCTTGACAAAGCAACCAAGTTATTCGGCAAACAAGATGAAAATTCCTTGCAGGTTCGGACTTCATCTACATTTAGGATTCACTAATTTTGTCTTTTTTCCAACCTCATCGCAAACTAAAACCATGATTGTTATAGGTAGTTAAAGGGGATACTAGGAATGCTGAGGATCTTGACCCATCCATGTTTGAGGTTTGTCTTCTTCCTCCTGTTGTCTCTGGGAGGAGTTTCACTTGTTCTTCATTTGATTTGAACTGATTTTTGTAGGGTGTGACACATGTGATCTGTTGCACTGGAACTACTGCTTTTCCTTCTAAGAGGTGGAGTGAAGAAAACACACCTGAGAAAGTAGGTGAGAGCATTTCTTTCCAGTTTAAAAACGAATGATCGTTTCCAATAGTCTTTATGATGTCCTGTTTTGTAATCAGTGAGATGAAACAAAGGCTCTCTTATATGATATGATTACTTATCCCTTTGGGGACTATGTGTTTTTTTTTTGTGTTCAAATAAGACTGGGAAGGTGTGAAGAATCTCATTTCAGCGTTGCCCTCATCAGTGAAGAGAGTTGTTTTGGTTTCATCCGTAGGTGTGACCAAGTCTAATGAGCTTCCCTGGAGGTGAGACTACAAAATATCTGCTAATTGCTATCATTAGCCATGGCAAATTGTAATTTTGAATAAGCATGCGGGTATACTGAGTATTATTTACAAAATTCTTGTGAATGTTCTTAATCTGATTGTCCCTATGTGTGATTCTTTTTCGAATGTATGTTTTGTTTGACAGTATCATGAACCTTTTTGGAGTTCTGAAGTACAAGAAGATGGGGGAAGATTTTCTTCGTGACTCTGGTCTTCCATTCACCATCATCAGGTTTGGAACAAAAGAGTCTGATCAATTATCAGATAATACTCCAAAATGCAGGCAACATATGGTTTACTGATTTACTGTACTATGATGTCCTTCGACCAGACCCGGTAGATTGACTGATGGACCATACACATCTTATGATCTGAATACGTTGCTCCAAGCTACAGCCGGTGAACGTCGTGCAGTTGTTATTGGTCAAGGTACATTGCTCTTTACGAAATACTTGGTTGCTCAGAATTTGGGATTGCCTGCTTTAAAAAAGCTTAAGACAAACAAACAAAAAAAGTGAAGAGATCTGACGGTGGTTTATAACAGGAGACAAGCTTGTTGGAGAGGTAAGCAGACTTGTGGTAGCTGAAGCTTGCATACAGGCACTTGATATTGAATTCACGCAAGGCAAAGCTTATGAGATCAACTCAGTTAAGGTATCGTATACAGTTTCCTTGAAAGTCCGGTCTTAAATAATCGAATAAACTGGAAATGGGGTGTAATGTAGTCTTATCAAGCAACCTGTCTTAGTGTGAAGGCGTATCCTGGAGAATGAAAGCTACAGTTGATCGTTGAATATGAATCAAAGATTGGTTGTTTTGATATGTTTGAGGAATGTTGTCTCAGGGGGATGGTCCAGGAAGTGATCCGCTGCAGTGGCGAGAGTTGTTTAAAGTTGCAGAATCCAAATGATAGAAAGGGACACTGAGAATTGTGTACAGAGTTAATAGCGAGACAATACATATATGGTCAAATTGTGTAAACGTTTACTATCCTTTTGGTCTTTAACTTTCATCGTTACTGTAATAACTAATATGTTTATCAATGAATAGCTAGTTTTTCATACAGTTGATGAACAAATCTACTTAAAGCAAAAGCAAGAAGTTCAACCCAAAGAATATACACAAGGTTGGATCCATCGTAGCTATTTTAATTCTGAAGATCAGATATCGCCTGTCGCCAATCGGGTTTGGTTTTTGACTTCTACTAAATTGTAAACCAAATCTAGAATCAACTATTAATAGAGAGATTAAAGAAAGAACAGAGAAACGGGTTTTCCTGCATTTTCCTTTATTGTCTTAAAAATAATAAACGTCACAAATGTAACACAACATTGAGAACAAGAAGATTCAAAGGGAAAGGATTTCCACATTTTATGATCCTGTTCTTCTGGTTAACACATTAAATAGAATTATCTAACCCGCTTGATCCCTAACATGAAGTCTTATGAGATAAACTGAACTAAAGGGACTTGACCAATGACTAAATCCTATACCTGATTGACAGTATTTATATACGTATAACAATACCTCTGCTCCCAGGAGATGAACATCAGACCAATGTGGACATATTTAATACAACATTCGAGGTGTGAACAGAACATGGCTACAATCAAACAACCGCAGAAGTAGTACGCCTAAGGTCAACATCGTTCTTGTGTTTCTCACTTGGCGGTGTTCCTTTGAAGCTTCCATATCTCATTGGCTTAGGCATGTAAAGAGAACTGAGTAACTTCTCTAAAGCTACAACTGTGTATCTCACATACTTGCTTGAACTCGCATCTTTCTCAACCAGCGGCCCATAGTTTTGCATATAGCTTCTGTATACAGGCACAATAGCCTGCACTATCTGCTGGCAAACTCTATCCCTCAAATCTTTTTCCGGTAAGACCCATGTGACTTGCTTCTTATACATCTCATCAAACGCATCATTGAATGCTTTCAATCTCTTCTTGACAAGATCACGAGCCGTGGCATGTCCACCCGAGAAAAGTATAAGTCCTTCTCGGCTCAAGTGGCTTGGAAGCTTACCCCAACTGTCTCTAAGGAAGACAGTGGCGTAATACTCTTTGTACTGTTCATGTTCTTTCAGCCATGAATCTCCCAAATGATCCCCAATTCTTGTACCCTTTAAGTTCTTGTACAGATGCCAGTGATTATTCATACCAAAGAAATGAGCAAGCGTTTGATCTGGATATGCTTTCATCCATACATCCAGATTCTGCTCAATGGCTTTGATTATTCTTAGAACCTCAACCATAAGTTGATTATCTTGGAACCTTTCTGATCTCCAGCTCTTATGTATGAGCAGAACCTGAGTTAGTGTTGACTTGTACTTATCTCCAATAAGTTTATTGCAATAATCAGTTACAAAACTGACTAATCTAGGCACACCACCATCGCTAGGAGGCGGGGTCTGTTTCTGAATCTCTACCTGAACCAGAAGCTCCCAAAAGATTTCCGCCGCACCATCGATTATCCTTTTAATGAGATCCCTTGTGAAGTTTTGGATCTCAATACAAGCTGCTCCACCAAAGAGACGGTTGAAATCTGCTCTCAGTTTGTTTAACGAAGTAAAAATATCTAACAGCTTCAAAAGCTTGATTGGATCTTTCTTGCTATCAGTCACAGTTTTCCCAAACTGAAGGAACGCGAGCATACCGGCTTGAGCAGCAATCTTGGAAAAGCAATCCATCCATACATTCAGACCGAGTCTTTCAAAGACATCATTGCAAAGCTTGAACTCTGCTTCAAACAGATGTTTAACCGCAAACTCTAAATGATTCCCCCACTGAGCTATATACCCTTCTATGCTCTGCACATCATTGAACTCAGAAACCGAGATATCTAGATAATCTAAATCAAGTGCTTGAAGACTAGCTCGAACATTCAAGCTCCTCACTTCAACGTAAATTGAAATGCACTTGTCGAGTCTGTTATTAGCTCTGAGTCTCCCAAGAATGGCTTGCAGTTTATGAATTACAGTTACAGGCAACTGAGACGGTGCAATGCAAGCCTGATCGCCGAGCGATGACGGAGACGCCATTGGAAGTGGTACACTATTATCCTTCAAAAGCCTTCTGAACTCACTTTCCAGCTTATCTAAAGCAGCATCCCTAAGCCCACCATCAAGACGCAGTTGGGATCTCTCTTTCTCTCCTGCTCCTCCACCGTCATTATGAAATTCCCTAAGCCCGCTTAAGGATTTCTTTAAATTCAGAAGATACTTCTCATCAGCAACATTGTGATCTCCCAAATACTCAACTATATCTTCCAACCACTGGATAGCTAACCCACAATTCTCCCCAAGAAACTTCAAGGCTTCCTCTAACCGCTTCAATACCCCTAAATAACCGGAAAGATCTTTCCTTGGATCTGATAACAAAGACTGTTCAAGTCCATGAACACAATCAAACACCTTAAGCACAGCGGCTGCAGGACCAACAGCTCGGTTAATATTACCACCAACATCCCCAAGAGCTTCTCTATCAGCACGTATCGGCCTCACGGCAGCTTCAAGCGACGGCAATCTCTGCTCAATCTCATCAAACCTAGGACCAGTCTTCCCCAAAGCTAACCCAATAGCTTTCGATTTCTCAAGACTCGATTTTAAAGACTTCCTCGCAGCTAGTAAGCTCTGAATCCCTCGTTCCACCCCAGTAGACTCCGCCATTATTCAATTCAATCAGAATGAAGAAAAAACCCTAGAAAACCCAAGAAAAATCTCACTACAGTGAAAGCAATTATTAATCTTCCAAACTTTATTCCTAATAAAAATGAAGACTTTAGAGATACTCGATTGAGAATCAGATGCAAAACTGTTTTGCATCAAAGCACTTTCCTCTCTCTTTTTTCTTTATTGTCTCCTTTATCACACCACACTTGCAACTTTTTGATAAATCAAACCAAACCCAAAAACAATAGTTAGAAACAAAAACTAACAAACAGAAACAAACAAACCCAAACCCAGAAATTTCCACAGCTACCAAACAACCCCTGAAAAATTACGAGAAACGGAAGCAGAAAATTCCCAGAAAGGAAGTCACTTTTTAACTTAAGACACTCAAAGGAAAGAGACTGAGTCGAGATAAGGCCTTCCACTGAATTGGGTCGCCGGCGAAGAGTTGATCCGGCGACGAATAGAGAGTTTGGCGGAAGAATCGAAACGGTGCGAGTTTTCTCCAAAGAGAGAGATAACCCAGAAAACCAAAACAAAAATAAAGAGCGATTCACGCAGGAGAAAAGAAAAATAGACTTTTTTTTTTTGGTTTTCGACAGTTTTTATTTTCTCGCGATGCCCGACGAAAACTGCCAAAAGTGCATGACAGTGGAGCACAAGGTTTCACAGCAACACTTGCGACTTCGGTAAAAACTAAAAATAAAAAAATACTTGCTAAAAATACAGTAATATACTACTATACTAGTACAGAAGAAATTAATCAAATGTTAATTACAAAACACTTGTTTATATATAAATAGGAAATATTGTATGTTTAAGTTTCACTAATGAATCTTTGCTTTGTCAGTCAAGAGAATTATTATGTTTAAAAATGTGTTCAGATATTCGAATCTTTTCACTTTCTTTTTCTTCTGCCAAACATGTTCTGAAATCTGAATGTAGTGGACTTTGTGATAGTCTACTTTTTAATGGTAGTTTTACGGTCGAGATATTCAACGTTTTGGTAACGTATAATGAATAACTTGTACTTCAAAGCCATATAAAAAAAAAAGGAAACTACTCTAGTTAAGCTATGTCCTATGTGTATTGTGTAATGTGTTCCAATGCATAAATGGTTTTTGGATTTACAAAATTTAATATATATGACGACTAGGGTATATTGTTGCGATTATATTTATAGTTGATTACAATTTCTGGATTTATAATATTTAACATGCATGTTATCGTATCAATGATACCACAATTGTAGTTGACATGAGATGTGTGTGAGACATCAAAAACTTAATGGATTTATTCTTCTAAACCGTAACTCAATAAACGACCTTTCTGTTCAAACAAAATATAAAAGAGAAGGTTTCTTTTATTCAAAGTAGTTGACTCTTTATAACAGAGACCACTAGAATTTTAAAACGTTCCTAATCTAATTGTTAACTCATTTACACAATTTCCTTACATCATTAACTCTTTTCATATTTGATTAACAAACCACTAGCTTAGATTTTTTTTTTAAAATATATCACAAATAAAAATTAAGTAATGTATGCATCAAGAATTATAAGCCCAATTAGTAAAGGTCCGTTGGAATATGGGAACACACGAGTTTCATTGGATAAGTATTAGAGCCTTCCCAGATGACAAAAAAAAAAGTATTAGAGCCTTCCCATGATGTTTTTGTTCTTGCAGGTTTCTTACACCGTCTTGAATTGAATTGGAGAAGCTAAATGAGTATGGCGAATCAAATCTCCGTATGCATGCTTTTGTGAGTGGTGTTGAGTGTTGACTACTTTGCTGCCGAGGAGGATGCTGAGTATTCTACGTCAATCCCACCACTTGAACCCCTTTCAAGTATAATGAACCGTGTACCACCGCTGAGATGTGGGCGTTCAATGAGGATGATGCAAACTGTACGACCCGAGGAACGAGAGGCAAAGAGGCGAAAGCATGGGAGATCAGTAATCCAGCATAGAGACAGATGTTGTTGAGTGGAAAAGCTGTGGTTTTACCGTTTTAGAAGACAAGAGGTCACTTGCACGTTACAATGTTGGAGTAGGGGAAATACTAATTAACAGTGTCTTGGTGAGAAGGATGCAACGACAACACTCTCTACAATCTTTAATCAACTTCACCCTCTCTGAGCCACTGAGCTATGATAAAGTTCTCTCCGAGAAGGAGGAGGGTCGGCCCAACTTTTATGGATGCTCTATGCCTCTATCACTCTATTGGCTCTATCCAATCCAAAATGAAACATTAATGTCATTATTATTTGTTATTTTGATAACAAGAAAATAATCTTAAAAATACTGTTAATACTTTTTTTTCCTAATTTTGACCATCAATACGAGTTCTCAGTCTTCCTTTTGCCTATGCTTTGAACATGACTTGTCTCCGTACTTAAATAGTAGCAGTCGTCGACGTCTACATTGAGAGATGGGTCGTAGTATGGAGTTGATGGAGGTACGAAGACGTATGTACTCTGTGTATGGTTTGACTTTTAGTTTGTCTTCTCTTCAACGTACGGCTAATACAGAGCAATGCTACATATTGCAACTGGAAGGAACTAAATAAGGATGAAAGAATAATTTTTCACATTAAAACCAAAAAAAAAAAGGATGAAGGAAGAATGAGACATTAAGAGCGAGCTTATCCATAATAGATAGACACAGTATTTTTGAATTTTTTACACTCTTGATTGAATGTAGCTGAACTGAAATTGAGTTTTTTTTTGTTCTGGATGAAAACGTTAAATTGTTATGTGTCAATCAAAATATAATGCAAACAAAATTTCCTCTCACATGGAAAGGAGGATGAAATAATTTATATAAATATGAGAATGTGATACTATTATTATGAAAGGTGTTTAAAGACACTGGTTTAATAAGAGTTTGCGGAGAAAGACAGAGGAACATTCGTGGAGACCAATTGAGAAATTAAAGTTAGGATTTTGAACCACGTGATTTGGTGTGGTCGTCTTTGTTTGTAAACATGCATGTTATTGTTGTGTATCCATCCAATTTTATCTTTTGTTGTTGGTGGGGCAAGTAGTAATGGTCTTTGGAAATTTTCCTTCCTAACTAGAAACTGAAACTTTGCCCCATTAATAACATACGAGTGCTTCGTTACAACGAGAACTTTCCCGGCCATATCTAATTGTGTGTGTATACATCGTGCCAAAATGTAACTCTTATAGATCGACGACGTTGTCCTTTGAGAACGTCAAGTGAGGAAATGGTCAAAAAGATGATATTTCCTTTTTATTTAAAGACAAAAGTCAGTCGGTAATAACAACAAATGGAACACAAGAAAAACTAGAAAATACATTGTCAAATGTACTTGAAACCTTCGTCTTCAGACGGCATAAATTAGTTTAGTTGACCCTTAACATATCTTTTGGATTTCACATTTATTTAGAAAACCCAAATTCATTACCCAACCACAAAAAAGCCAACTAACTCATTAAGTACTCATATTGACTTTGTAAAATCATTCATCCATTAAGTCAACTTAACTTTCGAAAACAATCCAATGGCCACCACCAGCTCACCAATTGTTTTAAAATTAAAAACAAAACAATGAATTATTATGAAATGAATATGACGAACAACACAAGTCTATATCTACCATTTGGTGCGGAATTAATATCATAACCTACCTAATATCTGCTAATCATCAACAATAGTAGTAGTATTAAAAAATGAACAAACCACGACTAATTTTTATCTAAATATATTTCTTAGAAAGAAAAAAAAAACAATTTACAAATCAACCCATCTACTAAAGTAAGTACTCAAATCCAAAGAATCAAAAAAAGGAAAACAATACAAAAGTCAAGAGGAGGCAAAAACTAAATCATTAACGCCTGAAGAAGAAATAGTCTCGTGCATTCCCCCCGCGGATTGGTTGTGACGGTGCTCTCCTTCGTACGTAACGATAAGCATCGTTGGATCATCTAACGCTCGTTCCACGTGTTTCCTTGCTGGACATCCTCTATACGTACTGCACTTGTAGTAACCACTGCATCGATCATAAACAAATAACCACCGTTAGATCTTTATAGATTGCAATGGGAATTAATTTATTTATCAACGGTGGATAAATAGACGATAGTTACCGTGGGTGTGGTGAGCCTTTGATCGGCTTTTGTCCGTACTTCCTCCACGAGTACTCGTCCGGTGGAATATCGGCGATCTTTGCACTTATCGCCGGTACCCTCACGGTTCTCTTCATCTTGTTTTTCCTGCTTCATTCATATAAAAATTAACAATCAATTAATGAGCTGGTTCGGATTTAAAAAGTCAATGGTCAAAACCCAGGTTTTTAAAAGTAGTTGTCGGCGAGCTAAACCTATATAACTATTGACTAAACCGGGAATAATGTTAACGGTTTACCTAATTGAATAATTAAGTAGTAATTTAATCAATGATGTATCGAGGAGGGTAATAATAGTCAACCAAGGGTTGAATATATCGAAATTAAAAATAACGGAAGTCACTTGAGTAAGTTTGTTAAAAGCGACAGGCGGGTGACGTAACGTAACGTAACAATACCTTTTTTTGCAATGGCATTTCCCGTGACCTGAGCCGGAGACTCTGCCGGAGAAACTCTCGGAGTGCTCGTGCTCGAGGCATCTCTTTCTGTAAGGATGACCGGCCAACGGTGGCTTTCCTGAGGAGGTAACTGGCTGCGACGGAGCAGAGGCGAGGAAGATTTTCCCGTTTGAGACGCTGCCGTCTCCGGTAATCGCCGACGACATGTAGGAAGAGTTTAAAGAGACGCTGAAGTTCTCCTTCGAGAACTCTAGGTCGGAGCTTTTGGATTTGGAACCGAAGATGGTCGGTTTAGAGAAATCGAGTGTGACGCTGGGCTGACTCGGAAGGACGAAGCTCGACGGAGGAGGAGCGGTTTGAGGAAGATTAGTCGTTGTTCTAGACGGCTGCGAAACAATCGGAGCAGTTTTAACGATCTGTGGGAGTGGAGGAGATACGACGGGGGATGAGCGAACAGGTCCGCGTCTAAACCGGGCGTGACCGGTACGGTTAAGAAGAGAAATGACGGTTTTGAATTTGGAAACGGTGAAATCAGTGATCTCGGAGCAGTCAACGGTGTGTTGTTGTTCGGGACGGTTAGAGAGGACGCGGATCAGATGCTCCATACTCTGTAAACCTTGCGATGCAGCTTCTTGAATAGCCGTTTGATCATCTATCTTGGGGAAACGCATTAGATCGACAGCCATAATGTGTTTTTGTTTCCTAAGTTGATTAGCTTCGTCCCTCGTTGAAGTTGAAGAAGAAGAAGAAGAAGAAGGTGAGAGAAGATGGTAGGATTAGGAATGAGAAGAGAGAAGGATGATGGCGTGATATATGGGGAAAGGAAGAGCTGACCCGGTCAGATTTTTATTTATTTATGAGAGATTTTGTTTTTTTAGTCAAACCATGCGAAGGTTTAGATCTAACGGCTGTGATTGAGTTGAGGTTTCCCACGGAATAAAGCAAAATTATTTAAAATCAGGTCTCCTCAACTTCGATGTTACTGGGTCCTACCTTGGCATCCGAATTTTTATCTTTTCTTTCATTTTAAAGATATTTTTCTTTTCAACTCTTAAATAATAATGGAGGGACATGTAATACACCACAACAACACTCTGAACCCAAAAAAAATTAAAAATATACTCAGATTAGTCATAATTATTTACGAAGTTTCTATGAAGTAAGTAAAATTATAAAACTTGTCAATGATTCATACACAAAATAAATGGAGGGTAAAGAGGGCCAGCTGGTATTTGGTTGAGGACAAGAAAAAGAGAGAGGGAAGAGTTGTCAACGAGACAGGGATGATTGATTATATAATAATAATGGATACATTTGACTTTTTTCTATTTCGTTTTTTTGAAAATAAAAAAAGAAAATTATATTTTATGTTTGTTTCATTTTGAATCTTCTTATTCTTGTCAAATTCTACGAGACTTTAAATATTTTGTCAACTATAATAGATTTTTCAGAATTAACTAATCAGATAGGTTGCCTACATAATGAAAAGTGATGACCATGTTTAATATGGGGTTTGTTTGTTTCCATTACCACCAATAGTATAATAAAAGAGATTTGGGTGTTAGAGACTTTTACTTCTTAAACAACAGTTTTACCAAAAACAACAAGAATTGTTGTTCGTAGCGTTCTAGAAAGTAGAAACAGTCTTCTTCCCTTGACAATTAATCACAACTAGAAGCTAAAAACCCCCTTTATTTAAACATTTTCGAATTCACCTAATTATTCTACAGATATTGTGAACGAATTAACACTACTAATTACAATGCACTAGCAATAATGGTTTGACTCAAAAGATTTTAAAAGTCCACTAGAACCAGCGATTAATAAATAAGTACGACAAAGCAGGAGGAAAAGCTGACTATCTTACAATATACTCCAAGTTGTACTCTCCGTATCAAAAAAAAAAAAAAGGAAACAAATATTATTCATTTCTATCTTTAAACAAAGAGAGAGATAGAGAGCTATTTGACCACCTCGGTAAGTGTTGACTTATTGTGATCCATTAGATTTTATATAAAGATAGATCCAACGGTGGATACTAAGTGTTGACTTAAGTTATCTTCTTTGAGCCTAAAATAAACAAATATCCAGCCAGCTAATTAGACCAACATTATCAGCAAGATCAGACAAGATACCCCTTAAGATCTTGCTGATAATGTTGCTCTTAGACCATCCTCAATGCATGAATCTTAGGGAGTATCTTACCCTAAGATTTACAAAGAGAATATTTTATATAAGATCCTCTCTTTGCAAATCTTAGGGTAAGATACCCCTAAGATGCTTGCATTGAGGATGGTCTTAGGTTCCTCGTCACGTGTCGACTTTGTTATGTTTTATGTCTCATATTTTTTTTTTTTTTTACTTTGATTGGCAAACTATATTTATCTTTATATGTTTTGGAAATTAATCCGGACATCAGCTTAAAAAATCTCTAAACTTATGTCAAACAAAATATGAAATAGAACGTGTTTATGGCAAATGGGTGGAGAAGAAACCAGGGATTGTTATTAATTAAACCAATTTTCCTTTTTCTTTTTTTTGTCAACGAATAAATTATAACATGGGGTTGGGGGTAGTAGTAGTAGTAGTTGACCCGACCGATCGAGTTGTATTATTATTGTCGTGCACGTCTATTTTATCTTTATAGTTACATAAATCTCAATGATCATCCTTCATTTTTATTTTTAAAAATGTCTCAATGTGTTATCTTTCTTTCTTTTTTTTTATCATTTATTTTTGGTTAGGTTAAATTCAGATCACGGTTCTTCACTTATTCTTCTATATATGCCGGGACATATATATATATATCCACGAGCAAGAAAAAATCATCCCCTGCCAAACACATTCTAAAATTAAATCATTTCCTTTTTTCAAAAAATAATTTATGTTCTTTCTAATGAGCAGGTAAGAGAAACGTGTTTGTTAAATCGCATGTTGTATACTCTACAACCTTACGTAATATTATTATTGACACTTATGGATTATTATTTACGTACATTCCGATGGCTCGTGGATGGAAGCTTCGTATTCATCATTGTGTATTTTTGCTTCATGACAAAAATGTTACTTAACAATTCTAAAGTAATAATGCAATTAAAATTATAAATCTATGTTGTTTTTTAAAAAACTATTTTAGACGAGTTTGGATGATTTTGTTGTTTATCCAGTTGTTAAGTACGAATACGTATTTTCCCCCATAACATGCGTTATTTTTTTAACGTCTAGATTTGTTTAGTAAATAAATATGATTTATATTCACCAAAACATAAAAATATATGATTTTTTTTTTCGCTTCGAGATTAATTTTGTCAAGACGCCATATGTTAAATTAGACGTTCACATAAACACATAATATAATCTAATATTCATAGCTTTTCAAATATCTAAGTGACACTTTAATAATTCTCTACATGCATGTTTACATTATTTTATTCCTAATTGAGGTTAGTGGAGTTTTTTTTTCTTTTTAATAAAGGAAAAGAATAAATATATAAATTCATCATGATTTATTCTAAAATATACTGATTGGCCGATACAGTTATAATGGAACCTGTCTTATTTGAACCCATTGTCTAAGTAAAAAGGGTTCGGGGAGAATGTTTTTAACTTTCTCAGAAGTCAACGAAGAGATAATTAATGTACATGGATTTTTTCCACAAACATTGACTGTCTATACATAGTCACACAGACACACGGATCTAACACGCATTTTGAGAAATGCATGGCTCTTTAATTTTTATTGTAATCGTTACGTTTTTAATTCTCGGATTGGTTTTACTAATCATGTTATCACTGTCAATATTTCAGTACTAGTTATGTTGACATGGATGATATTTTGCTTTAACAACAAAATAACTTAATTTATAATTTTCCATCAGATCTTGAAACAATAAATCTTATTATGATTAGAACATAAGTAGAGAGATTATTTCATGAAGAAAGAAACATGAAACGTAAAGATAAGCAAAACCCAATGAAACTTAACTATTTGTAGTCCTACTAGTTTTGTTTTACAATTCTAATAACAGTTGAATTACGCTCAAATGCGTATTTTTCTTGTCTCTATATACGATGACGTGCATGTTGTAGACTACTTGCATATCTGAGTTAATACTATAAACCCACATTATAAGAAAGCTGTAAGGAAGAATATGTAAAAGTAAGAAAGTAGGACGAGAGTGGAATCCAATGTGTCTTCAACTAGATGTTATATTATACTCTTATGTTTGTTTATATTATAAACGTTTAACGTATATTTTGGATGTAACGTTGGGAGTATATTGTTCACTTTAAATGTATAAACAAGAACCAGCACTGCAGCACATGGTGGTCTTGGAAAATGAAATATATACTCTCTTAATACAAAAGGGGTGAATCCAAAATCCAAACAGGAAAAATTTTAAAACTTATCTTTTGCTTGACTAATTTTGTGTGTTAAATATGCAATTAGATTAAGAGAACCTTCTTAAATAAATATTCGAATGATCAATTAGTCGTATCAAAATTAGACAACTTGGTTAAGATTTGATTCTAGTCGATATAAAAAAATATAAAACATGCTCCATATGCGATCATATCTCCCATATAATAATATCACGAAGACGAATATATCGCTATCATGGACCATGCTAGGTTAGGTTCTGTTAGTTTTTTTTGTTTGTTTGCCACAAAGTAAAAAAAAGAGCTCAGTTACTGGTACAAGTAAAATAAGAGCTTCGCTACTGACATAGTAAAAGCAAAAGAGAATTGAAACCTGTCTTATTGGACAAGTTTTAATGGGTCTGGTAGAAGTCAGCCCATTGGATAAGTTCTCAGATTATTCTGGTCGGGTCGGATTGATATCACCTGACCCGAAATGAGTTTATCCTTATCGTTTGCTTCCAAATCAAAGAGAAGAAAATAAGAAGGGAATGGCGAGAGTCTTCGTCTCTATCCCAATGCAACCCACACAAACAATCTTCTCCGCATCTTCTTCTCAGCCGCCGGCGAACAAATTTTTCGATGGAATAGGAGGAGGAGCTGCGGGATTAACTCTTACCCGGAGAATCAGAGACAGTTCTGTGGTGACGCGAGCAGGCCCGAGTACGAGTAGCTACTTGCTCGCCTTCGCCATTCCTGCTACTCTTATCGCTGCCACTGTCTTTACTTCTATCAAAATTGCTGATAAGCTCGACGAAGATTTCCTTGAGGATGTAAGATATTTGTTTCCTAGTTCTTCATTCTTTGACTCATATCTAATTCAAATTCGTTTTAATTTTTTTAAAGCTGACTTTTGAATTTGGGGTCGACTAGGTTCAAGTGTTGTTAAAGTTCTTGAATTTATGGTATCCTTTGAAATTAAGAGATAATTCCGTTGCATTCTATTATAATTGGATCTGTGTTCTTTTTTTTTTGGCCTCAAGAGTTGTTATCTCAGTGTTCATAATCACCAACACATCCTTTAATTTATGTATCATCCAAAGCTAAAAGAGCTTTTATACCATTACTATGTCATTTTGCTCTTTGCAGATTGCGTTGAACCAAGCGATGAAAGCAGCAGAGAATGGAGAGAATGGTGAACGAGACATGTCACTGGACGATGTGATTCAAGAACCTGTGCTTCAACGAACACGGAACCGGCCTAAACGTGAAGTTTAATATACACACACACACATAAACATCTTGTTAAGATTCTTCAGTGATCTTGTGACTCTGTAATACATCTTGTATTTTCTATAAGGATGTAACGTAAGCTTGTAGCCTTCCTAGCGCCATCTATAGTTGTAGTTCCTGGTAAACATTATTGTTTGATCATATGTAAAAAATGAAAAAAACTGCTGCTTATTGCATTTTTTGAGCAGATACTGTGTCTTGTCTTTTGTTGAGGTCTGAGCTTTACTTCTGCGGTAAATTTGGTAATAGACTCAACTGGCCATGGAAACCAAGTACCATCTGACCCGTTTTGAGTTGGGCTTTTAAGGCCCATTATGAGTTGTCTTGTAAAACTTTTGAAGAGTAGTGTTTGGGAATTTTCCCTGTTCGCTTGAAATCGACGGCTGTGTGAGGTTGAATCGCGTCGCGTTTTTGTTGTTGTTCAAACGAACGGGACATACCAGCTACAGGCCAATTTGCGTTAGATCTAAGGAGAAAGCGACGTATATAGGTGTTTTCAAGCAATTTGTTCTACAGAAAGGAGATTTTACGAGCAAAGTCGATTTCAGTCTCCCTTGTAGTATTCTCTTCGACGGCCTGGATCGAGGGTATGCTTTAGCTCAGTTTCGTGATTTTGTTTAGCGAATTTCTTTGTGGAATTTGATCTCTTATTGCGGCTTTTGGATTTATCAATGGGTGTTTAAAACTACTGAATCTGGGATATATTCATTTCCGTTTAGTTGCTGCAAAATTTGGGTCTCTATTTGTTATTTTTGGTTTTTGAATTGTCTTGTTCATAATTCTTAAGCCCCTATAATGTGTCGGTGCTCTGTGATATCATCGAAGTTTTGTTAAATTAGTTCAGTTTTTGTTGTATTTTTAAAAAAATTATTTTGCATCAGTGACGAGGCAAGAACCAATGATTACCCAAACTTGGTGTTGATCCACGAAGAGTCCTCGTGGGAGCAAGAACAGAGTTAATTGAATGGACAAGAAAAAGAATCGTACCGATCCACTTGCTGCTGGGCGTCAGAAGGTTAGCTTCGTTGTCCTTAGACCTACTTCTTTAGAATTTGTGTAGATTTTCTTAATTATCACAAAATGTCAGTGAGAATAGACTGGTGTTCTACTTTTTCATTTCCTTATTGAAAACCATCAGTCAAGCCGGAAAGTTCCTGTTGCGCTTATCGTCTAAGTTCATAGTTTAGGAGAACAATTTGATAGCCTAGTTTTGATAACATGCTCTTTCTTCTTTTCAGTAATAAAAGAAGTTAAGTTGGCATTCATTTTGCTGTATTTCACGCATAACTTTACCCAACTTGTCCCCACAGTCTATACTTGATACTTGTCCTGCCTTGATTTACATAGACAGAGAAACATTGGATGGAATATGTCTTAAATGCTTATTTTATTGATCTTATATCAGCTTCAACAATTTCGTCAAAAGAAGGCTGACAGAGGCACTGATCAAAAAAAGGACTCCAAAGGCAGTACAAGCCAAGGGAAATCCTCCAAAAAATCTGGTAAATCTGAGAAGCTTGAGCGTAAACCTGACACAAGTACTGTCAATGACGAGGCAGAAGCTCCATCCCACGTGGCTGAAGGAGGAGCTACATCTCATGTGAATGTTGGCGAGGAGGTTGTTGATTCTCCACAAAGTTCTGCAAATGCGAAAGCTCACAAATTTGTTTCAGTCCATGGTTCATCATCCGAACCTGATACGCCTCAGCCAGGAAATACCACTTCTGATGATGGATCTGAAGTGAGAAAAGAAGTGGTTAATTCTGAAAATGATATCAGTATATCATTATCCACTGAAGAAGAGAATATGAAGTCTATCAACAGTGGTGTGGCTGGCACTGTAGATTCTTCGACATCTGACCCTGCAGATTCTGAGAAGGGAGTTACACATGACGATGCATCTGTTAAAGAAATTCTTGCTGCCTCTGGAAACATAGCCGAAGGGGAAGGAGTTGAAGTTGAAAGTGGGTCTGGGAATGAGGAAAAGCCACATCAGCCATCCTCTCTCCATGAATGTATTCCTGATGTTTCCTTGATTCGTGCAAGGGGAGATCAGGTAACTGATGTAGGTTGTTCTCTCCTTCTCTTCATTCTCTCTCTCTTCAATCTTTCTCTTTATTACTTTTTCTTCAATAGGGGTAAAGAGGTTACGTCTATTGCATGCGACCCGTTGATGTGTAATTTAATTCTCATTTGTTTCTGGGTAGGGGAAATGCAGGAAGAAGATGGTTCACTCATGGAGCAGTTTTCTGAGTCACTTGCAAAGGCAGGTGTGGATAAGATTGCTACTGAAGAAAAGCAAACAAGCTATCTCGCATCTGACTCTCCTTCACACTTTTCGGAGGGATCCTCAGTTACACTTGATTCAGATCAACTAGGAGGAAAAAATGGTAATATTAGAAGCCACCAGATTAGGGAAGCTGCAGAGCTTAATGAAGAGAAACCAGAAACATCTATTCATTTTCCTAAGTACAGGGATCACGTGCTGTCAGCTGAACCTATGGAAGGCTCTGTTGCAGATATGGCTAGTCAGGTGCAATTGCCTGAGAGTGTCAGTATATCTGGATTTTCGAGCCATGAGGAACCTCATAAAATTGACACATTGAACCTATCTGTTGATGTTTCTGCTGCTCATGTTCATGAAGGCCACTCAGTCAGCTTCTTACAGCTTATGGATATTGTAAAAGGACTTGGGCAAGATGAATACCAAATTTTGTGCAACGCAAGAGAGGCTGCTTCCAGTAATGAGCCAGGAACGAGTTCGTTGGAGCGATTAAGAGAAGAACTGTTTGTCTCGAGTACCATGGAAGATATACTCCATGTGCAACTGAAGGAACAGTCTAATCTACAAAACGAGTTTGATCATCAACATAACCAATTGGTAGCTGAAATATCACAGCTTCGTGCATCTTTTAATGCGGTGACAGAGAGAAATGATTCTCTTGCCAAGGAACTATCAGAGCGCGAATCTGAACTATATGCTGCTACAAGGTCAAATGAGAAGCTTGAAAATCAGATTCTTGCTACAGAAGCACAAGTAGCGGATTTCACTGGTAAGATGAATGAGTTGCAGCTTAGTCTAGAAAAGTCCCTGTTGGATCTATCGGAGGCAAAAGAAAAGTTTATCACTCTTCAGGTGGAGAATGATACGTTGGTTGCAATTATTTCTTCCGTGAATGATGAGAAAAAAGAACTTCTTGAAGAAAAAGAATCCAAGAACGTTGAGATTAAGAATCTTTCATCTGAGTTATGCAATTGCAAAAATCAGGTGGCCATTCTAAAGGCCGAAGTTGAGCAATTGGAAAATACTATTGGTCTATTAAAAGATGATAAGATGAATCTTATGGATGATAAATATAGTTTATTGGGTGAGGCAGAGAAGTTACAGGAAGAATTGGCAAATTGTAAGACGTTGGTCACCATGCAAGAGGTGGAAAATTCTAACATAACGCTTGATTTACTGGTAGGCCAGCAGACTATGTTTGAAGAGAACAACTTACGTCTTAGAGAAGAAAATGAGAAAGCACATCTAGAACTGAGTGCACATCTGATCTCGGAGACTTATTTATTGTCGGAGTATTCCAATCTGAAAGAAGGGTATTCTTTGTTGAATAATAAGCTCTTGAAGTTTCAAAGGGAAAAGGAACATTTGGTTGAGGAAAATGATAAACTTACACATGAACTTCTTACTCTTCAAGAGAGTACGTCAACTGTACAAGAAGAGCGGACTCGTCTAGAAGTTGAGCTAAGAGAAGCAATAGCGCGCCTTGATAAACTGGCTGAAGAAAATACATCTCTAACAAGCAGCATCATGGTAGAAAAAGCTAGAATGGTAGACATTGGTAGCGAGGATGCTTCAGTATTGATCAATCAGGAAATTTCTGAGAACCTTGAGAGAAGTTCAGAAGTCGGGGTTAGTAAACAGGGTGCATCATTTCTTGATAATACACTATATACAAATTTGGAAGAGGTAATGGAAGATACATCTGAGTTTTCTGCCATGAAGAAGAATCTGGAGAAGGGGGAGAAAATGGTTCAGAACCTTGAAGAGGCAATTAAGCAAATCCTGACCGATTCATCAGTGAGTAAATCTAGCGATAAAGGTGCCACGCCAGCAGTATCAAAACTGATTCAAGCTTTTGAGTCGAAGCAGAAACCTGAAGAACAGGAATCAGAAAAAGCACAGTTTACTGATGATCTATCAGAAGCAGATCAATTTGTTTCTATGAATGTACAGATTAGAAATTTGAGAGGCTTGCTTGATCAGTTACTGTTGAATGCTAAGAAGGCTGGTATACAATTCAACCAGTTAAATGATGAGAGGACATCAACAAATCAAAGACTCCTGGAGTTAAATGTCGAATTTGCATCTCATCAGGACCACATCATTGTTCTGGAGGCAGATAGTATTGAGAGTAAGATTTCATTTGAAGTTCTGAAGCATTATTCATATGAGCTGCAACATAGAAACCATGAACTTGAACTTCGTTGTGAATCACTAAAGCTAATAAATGATAGTATTGGTGTAGAAAACACGGAGCTTAATAAGAAGCTGAATTCTTGCTTATTGAGAATTGATGAGCTTGAAATCCAGCTGGAAAACATACAGCAGACTTTAAGTAGTTTTTTGTCCTCTATGGAAGAACAGTTAGTGGCCTTGCAGGATGAATCTGAGAGGGCAATGGTGCTAGAACACGAATTGACATCATTGATGTCTGAATTTGCTGAAGCAGTTGTAAGGCTTGATGATTGCCTACTCAGATCTGGCACTTCTGAAGCTCCTGTTGGCTTGGATATGACCAAGCGGATATCAAGTTCTGTTGATATGGCTGTGAAGGTGATTTACGACATGGAGGAAAAACTTGAAGCTGCTTATGTGAAACATGAGTCCACCTCAAACCAATATGAGGAATTGAAGCAGAGTTTCAATACTCTGTTTGAGAAGAACGAATTTGCAACTTCTTCAATTCAGAAGATCTATGTTGATTTGACGAAATTGATTACTGAATCATGTGGGTCAGTGGAGATGGCCAATCTTGAAGTTGAAGATCCTTTCAAGGATGGTAGTTTTGGGAATCTGATGGAGGCTGTGCGAAATATTTTTTCTGAGAGGCTTGAACTTCAGGTTGTGATTGATAAGCTACAATCGGACTTGTCGAGTAAATCAAATGATATGGAGGAACTGAC